CCACCCGCTGGACTCTGTCTCGGGCCCCTGCAGCCGAGGCCACCGGCCTGCGTGGCTGGGGCTCCAGGGGCCCCAGGGCGGGTCTCAAGGGAAACAGGGACCGGGTTCTCGGGGTGGGGGGGGGGTCCCTTCTCGCGCGGTTCTGCTGCCTGCCTGTCCGTCTGTCCGTCGGTCTCACGCTCTGCCTTTGAGGACGAGCCGCCAACCCTCCCGAGGCCGGGCGCTCCGATGCCCCGGCGACCTCCCCTTTGTGCGGGTGACCGTCGCAGGCCGGCGGCCCCCACCCCCGGGAGGGACACGTCGCCGCGGTGCAGTCGGCCAAGGCCGGGGGGCAGGGTGAGCAAACCCAGCGGGGTGCGAGGCGCTCGGGGTGCCGAGCCCAACTCTCCACAGTGCCACCGCGGGGCCTGCGAGGGTGACCATGAGCTTCAGATGCTGGTCGCTTCCATCCAGCGGTGGCTCAGGTCACGGGTTTAACATTTATTTTAACTCCACCGAAGATAAAAGTGGGGGAAAATGGGGCACCCCCCCCACCCGTGTACTTTGAATAACGTGGTGTGGTTTTCTCTCTTCCTTTAGAAATCGTTACTTTTCGGGGTTCATCTATTGCGGTTTGTGCTTTACTGCCGAGTAAACCATTTTGAGTAGAGTAAATGCTGTACTCACAGCCGTTGGTTTTATAGTAGCAAATGTTTTATGTTTTCAATATAGTTATTCAATTACTTATCATTATACTAGGTCAAAACACCAACATTTCAGCGAACCTCTACGACACTCTTAAAGTAAAAGCACTTGAAAAGGCATTTTGATTTCTCGTTGTGACATCGTCTTGTCCTGTTTCCGGCCATTCTCCCGCAGAATCCCACGTTCCTGCTTCTGACAGGGTCCCAAGCGGCAGAAGTCTGCTGCTGTTTAATCTTGTCGTTACGGTACGAAAAAAACCTAACGGTTTACCAAAAGAGAGCAATTAATTGACAAACTAGAGCTTTTACTGATATGAAATTTTCATCTTTAAAATTTTGGTAACAACGAATATCCATGAATAAATTAGAATCCGACCGATGGTCTTTCACCAACACCAAGCTTTTGTGCCTTTCGAAATGAACCCATTTGTTAGAAAATGCCTTAAATTCATCTAGAAAATGGGATTGGAAATGTGTGTCACAAAAGGTGTCACAGGGATTTCGTCTGTTAATTAGTGCATGTGAGATACTGTGAAAGCCACAAGTCACTCTCCCAGATAGAAGGCATTATTAACTCAAGTTCCATTCCAAATTTAGATCCTATGAAGTTTGAACAGCACTTTTGTTTGCATGAAGGTAAAGGAAAGTAAATAAATTAGCATATGTTTTGTGTTCTTTCGAGCATGGCACTATGCTCTGTACTTAATATATTATTTCAGCCAGGTTTTCTTTTGGGAGGAGGAGTGTGATTTCAAAGTTATAGAGATCTTTGAAAAAGAACAGAAAAGCCATACTCAGCATCAAAAATTAGATTGCCATCTCAACATATTTGTTCCCAGTCTTTTTCCTTAAAAAACATTCTTTTCTTTAACTTATGCATGTTAATTTTAAACATTCAAATAATGAAAAGTTCTACAAAGAAAATGAAAAACCTTATCCAAATAAAACTCCCTTCCAAAATAAAAATTATTATAACTTGGTAAAATTGCAGCCATCTTTCCATGTGGACAAATTCAGAGAAGGTAGGGTAATGGGCAGATAAATAAATGCACAAAAAGAGAAAAAACTTTTCATAAAAATGGGATCAGACCATAGATACCACTTTTAACATCATGATTAAATTTTATTTTAGTTTAACAAAGTAAGAATAGAGTAAAAATGAAAAAAATTATGAACTTGTAATAAATGATTTGAGACAACAAATATATATTTTTATTCTAAAAGATTCCTCTGAGGGTAGCAGATGCACTGAACACTAGTAAGAGGTCAGAGTGCTTATACTTTTAAAAATTATGTTTATATATAAAAAGCTTATGCTATATATATGCTATTGACTTTTTGCTATGAAAGAAATGATATTAGCACATTTTTGTAACTATATTCTCTCAGACACTCCTCATTTTTCTATTACTATTGTTCTTTTTACGTCATCTAAGTTTATCATGCATTCATATTTGGTTCTTCATCTAAAACTAACACAGTTCTTAAGCGTTAGCTTTATATTTAAATGAGTCATGTGCATCCCATTCCTTCTTAGTTCTTGAGGTCTTGAGATCTTAATCTCTTAATCGGAGGGATTTAGTTAAGTTTCTTTAAGAACTATCATTTGCATTTCAGCTGCTGAGGGGTTTGCTTCCCTTTGTGATGTTAAAGTATGTTCGGTGTCCTGCTATTTGAAAGATGCCTTGGTGGGTGACAATAGTCGTGTAGCCCTTTTACTCAGAATATTGCAGACTTGTCTTCACTGTCTTCTGGTGTAGGACGCTACCGTTATAAAATCTGAGACAAATCTGATTTTTCTCCCATGCGTTAGACCTCTGGCTGTTTCAGCCTGGTCTCGCCGCCATGCCGTTGGCCCGAGCAGCCCGTCAGTGGCCGCCGCCTTGATGCTGAGCGCCGTCTCGCCGTCCCTGCTGTGTGGCGTGTTCTTGCATTTACCGGGACTCTGGTACATGTGCTTGATTCTCCATCTCAGTGACATCGGGGATCGTTACGTTGGATCATTTGTGTCTGTCTTTTTTATTCATCGCCTCGTCTTCAAACGCTTTATTATCTGTGCTTTCTCAACGGTATTAATTATACTTATCTCCAATTTTCCGTTCATGTCAGTAGTTTGACTTTCTGTAGCTGTCTGTTTTATTTCTTGCTTATTCTAATTGATTATTTGTCTTTTAAAGATGCTATTTTGGTTGCAGTTTGTATCCCTAAATTTGCAACCTCCTAATTAATCTGATTATATTGCTTGTTTTTTCATCTCAAGATTGAATTGTTATTTATTTTAAAAATTCTAGTTCTTACCCTACAGCATGAAACACTTTTGAGAGAGTGTCTGGGACTCTTTGAATTCTACTTTCTTCTAGAATGAGTATTTTTCACATTTTTCACATTTATTGTGGTAGTGTATCTGCACAGTTGCTGTTACATTTCTCCTTATTTTGCTTATGCTGGAGGAAATGTGTATAAACAATTTGTTGATTCCTTTCCACAGAGGGACGTTTCCTTCGGCTCCAGTCGGGCGGTTGGATGGCGCTCGAGGAGCCACGTTCGATGGCTGGGGGTGGTGGGGTCGAGGGAGGTACAGCCCTCCTTATAGTGCCTGGCTGCTACTCTGGGTTTTAGGGTTATGTTTTTATTGGAAGGGGGTGTCCAGCGTGCCGTGTAGATCCCAAGGGATCGGGTAAAGTTCTCCACTTTGAAGTGTGACCGTGCACAGTCAGAGTGAAAGATGGAGTCCTCCTTGGATGGAACCCGTAATCTCAGAGCCTGGGGCGGGGGCAGGACGGGAGACAGCGTGGTGAGTGGTGGCGGGGCAGGCCGTGAACTGGGAGCAGGCGTCGGAACCAGTCAGGGCGAGGCGGGCCTTCACGCAAGCAGAGGCTGGCGGTGGTTGTTGGAGACTGGTCACATTTGGGGAGATGGAGCAAAGGCATAATATATAGAGGACAATGGAAACTGGGGTGCAGCAGTTTGAATAGGGAGCTGCAAATGTGGACAGAGGAAAAGTAGAGAAAACCCACTGTGGGTCGCTATGAGAGAGAGAGGTATGCAATGTGAGTATGTATGCGTGTGATTGTGAACATGCCCACGCACATGCTTACACACACCCTACACACATGCACATGCACACATGCACACATGCGCATGCACACACTCACATGCATGCACACGCATGCACACATGCACGGACACACACGCATACATGCACGAGCACACACATGCACACATGCATATTCACATGTGCACACTCACACATGCATGCACACACATGTGCACACACATGCACACACTCACATACATATGTACACACATGCACACGTGCAGGGCACACATGCATATTCACGTGTGCACACTCACACATGCATGCACACACATGCACACATGCATATTCACATGTGCACACTCGCACATGCATGCGCACACATGTGCGCACACATGCACACACTCACATACATGTGTACACACATGCACACGTGCAGGGCACACATGCACACATGCATGAGCACACACGCACACATGCATATTCACATGTGCACACTCACACATGCATGCACACACATGCACACACTCTCACATACATATGTGCACACATGCACACGTGCACAGACATGCATGCGCACATACACGTATGAGCACACACGTGCACACATGCATATTCACACGTACACACATGCATGCACACACGCACACACACCCGTACACAGGGGGCCTCAGGGCAAGGACCCCTCAGCAGCAACGAGCACACCTAGCGCCCGGACCGTGGCCTCTGAGTACCATCCCCAGGGACGGGAACCGGGTTTCTCGGGGGAAATCGACTGCTCCCGGGGCCGAGGCCGGGGAAGGACAGGATGACCCCGGAGCACTTTCTTGTGCTGCGACGCAAGGACGAGTTCCGAGAACGTGGCACACGTCACGTGTACGAAGGAGCCAGCTTCCGTGGCTCCTGCTGGGCACAGCAGGGGCATGTGGGCACCGAAGTCAGGAGTGGTGGGTCATCGCCTGTTTGATGAAATGAGAACGCAGGGGCTCGCACTGATGGAGTCGGCCGTGCTGACGGAAATATAGGAACAAAGTGTTAAACGTCCTGTGATTGGCATCGTCGCAAAGTCCCTAACCACACAATACTAATTACAAACAAAAAGGAGTGACCTTACCATGGGGAGGTCTGGCAGGCCGCACCTCATATGACCAAAGCGAACTCAGCGGTAAAGGGCAAATGGAGGTCCGCGTCCCCGAGTCTCATCACAGTGAGGTGGCGGACACAGCGGTGAGCCCCGGGGAAGGCGGGGGAGGGGCGGAGGGCAAACCGAGGTGGCCGCACCGTGGCTGGCAGGCAGGTATCTTCTTCACGTGACATGTACACATGGATGCGTATGTTTTCTAAAGAGACAAGTTTCACTGGTTGCGTTGTTGTTTTGAAGTGTTCGGGGACCCGTTTGTTCCCGGCCCCCTCGGCGTCCAGCTCCCCCCAGGGCCCCGCCCCCACCCTGGGAGGCTGAGGGCTCAGACGAGCCCAAATGGAGCAAAACTCGACCCAGTCAGTGCCCTGGGATCTTTGACATGTCAAGGTCAGGGGCATCAGGAAAGCCTGGGAGTTCGTTCTACATCGAGGAGACCACAGAGACGTGACGGTCAGCGGGGTCCGGGTTCTCGGCTGGATCCTTCCTCCAGGGAGGGCTCCGCTGGGAGTGGCCGGACGGGACTAGCAGGTGAGATGCTGGTCCTGAATCGGTGTTAAATTCCTGATTTCGATGGTTTTACTGGGGTTGAGGGCAAGAATCGCCTCTGTAGGAGCCGGAAACCCATTTGCTGGGGACGGTGAGGCATCGGCTTGCAAACTTCCTCTAAATGCTTTAAAATGATTTCCTTGTACCTTTCTGGTTACATTTTCTGTTTGCTTGAGATCGTTTTGAAATGAAGTCGTTGTTTTAACTCTGCGTTGACTTGACGAGGCGCAGCCGAGGTTTCTCATGGGGCCGATTCTCTTCCTCTTCCAGGCGATGGCCCCCTGAGCTGTCCCGTCTTCACCCAGGAGCCACAGGATGTCATTTTCCCTTTGGATTTTTCGCAGTCTGAACTCAGGCTGAACTGTGCTGCGAACGGCCACCCTCCGCCCCGTTACAGGTAAGCGCCGGCCTCCGGGCACCTCTCATGTTTTTTTCTTCGTCTTTGGGGTAAAACAGACCTACCGTAAAGCGCTTGGAGCACCCCAATGCGAGGGTACAGCCCAGTGAGTTTACGCGCAGGTGCACAGCTGGGTGCCCACCGCCCAGATGGAGACAGACACGTTCATCCCCACGGCATCCCCACGGTCCCGATGGCAGCCACCCCCACTCCGCTGGCGGCCACCACGAGGACTGTGTGTCGATTAGGTTCGCTCAGAACAGTTATTGCTGAGGTCAGTGCCACGTGGCATCCCGTGGTTCGAGCTGGAAGCAGAAAAGAGGAAAGAATGGGAGGGAAGGAGGGAGGGAGGAAGAAACACAGGAAGACAGAAAAAAAAGATAAAGGGAAAGGGCAGGAAAAGGAAGGAAGGAAGGAGGGAGGGAGGGAGGAAGGGAGGGGGGAGAGAGGGAGGAAGGAAGGAAGGAAGGAAGGAAGGAAGGAAGGAAGGAAGTAAGGAAGGCCTGGAAGTTCTTTAGAGCGGCCTCCAAATAAAGAAGGAAGGAAGGAAGGGAGGAAGGAAGGAAGGGAGGAAGGAAGAGAGGGAGGGAGGGAGGAAGGAAGGGACAAGACTCAACTCCGAGTGCTCGCGTGCCCGGTGCCTGGTGCCCGGTGCCACCGTGGGGAGCCGCCGCTCCGGGCCCCCACTCCCCACCGTGACGACAATGCCCCCCGGAAGCCGCTGATGAAGAGCGCGCTCCGTTTTATCAGGCAAATTCCTCCGACTCCTCTGGCCGTCACCCAGAAAGCATCGGTTTTAGAAAAAGTGTTGAAGACAGCACGGTGCCCTCTAAGGTAGAAAAATCGTATTTATTAGGGGCTAGGAGGAGCATAATTATATCTGTTTCTTGCATATCGCCCTTGGGATAATAGGGAGGAGGTGTCAATGGCGTTTGTTTGTTTTTCTTACAAGACTTCGGTAAAGGCAGAAGTCGATCCACGTTGGGCTCGGAATTCACAAATTTCAAAATATGCCCGTATATTATGCTCATGTAAATAATGATTCTTCATTTGGAAGAATTGCGCAGGCAGTGGGAATATAGAAAAAGATAGAATAAATATTAATATGACTATTGTAACTTTCATATTTAAGAGTATCTTTTATGTCTTAATTTTTAGCAGGGAAGTTGAATCAATGCTCACAAAAAGTAACAATTTTGGTCTATTTTTGCAAAATAAGCTGTTTTCGCCTACTTTTTATGTTGCGTTAAAAATATCTTGTGTACATATAGTTGCTTCGATCTTAAGATCGTCTAGATTAACGAGCTAAAAGGCTCAGGTGCACAAAGTGAAGGACAACTCTGCGTTTTATTTTGTCGCGTTAACTTCAGCGTCTTTTATTTTTTTGACAACAAAAGAGCTGAAAAGGTTGTCTTCTTCTGTACTTTTATACACTTACCACACCTAGCCTACCTTTGGAACCCCCGAACTAGTGGGGCCCATCCATTAGGTGAAAATCATTTGCTTTACAGTTTGTTTTCCTTGAGTAATGAGCTGATTTATTTAGCGTGTGGTTCGATATATAAAAATCTGATTAACACATTTTTCAGACTACTTAATACTTAAAGATGTAATTTTATTTTTGAGAGTTGGTTTGATTGATCATAACAGTTGGTAGATTTTGATAGAGAAAGGAAAGAACACATGAATCCCTGTAAAATAAAAAACATTTGCTAAGTATAAGGCCATCGATCAACCATTTACTTACATAAAAATATATATTAGTTTATAACAGGCACAAACGGTGGTTTTTAAGGTAATTTCTGATTAGTTTTATCTCTGAAGAAATACGCTGAATGAAAAGACCACTGATTTCACTATTATTGAATGGCTTTTGTGTGCAAGATGCCTGTAAATTCAGAGGTGACTTCTTTCCAACCCCCATAATCTGGCTTAGCACATCTGCAATATTATAATATAAAATACTCATAAGCCAGAGGCTTTGGAAAGAGAGCGGGAAAGAAACTAAGTTTTTAATGCTTAAATGTCAGACTCAGACCCAATTTCCTTGGTAATAAAGCAAAGGGCAGAGGTAGCTCAGATGATGTGCATTAGCTACAAAATGTGAAATTTTAGTGCTAATATGACCCTTTCTGACTTAATTTTTATGTAAAAAACTCACTCCTACCCACATTCACGTTGGATCGTGTGTGTGTGACACACAGGGAATCTTCACGATTCGGGCTCTAACATTATTTGAGGTGTTTTGGATTCGGTGTGAAGCTGCGTAACAGAGCTCTTGACTTAGCACTGGAGGTGACGGCCTCAGTCACAGCGCTGTCATTCCACGTGACCACAGAACGGTCCCTTCTCTATGCTGCCATCAGCTCCTTATACATAAGGCAAGGGTGTCGTTGGTTTTAAGACATGGTCTCTTTCTTTTAATAAATTCCCTTTAGCAAACACAATGTCATGGGGAGAAAGGAGCAGTAGTTAAAGCAGCACTTGGGAGACAGTTTAGAAGCATCTTGTCTGGTGTCACTTATAAGGGCATAATCACCTTTACGTACAGGGCTTTGGGGGAAGCGAGAAGACAGAAACGTTAGGCAAATCTGACAAAAGCTTTCAAATGGAAAGGATCACTCTTCATTCTTTTAAAAGGCAGGTAACACACAGGAAATGGAGGGCGCTTAGCCAGGGTGCTTTGCAAAGGGAGGGAGCCCAGGTCGCCCAGCGATGGTGCTGGGTGGGGTCGCTCGTACCTCGAAAGTCTGGGATGATCAGGCAGCAGCCGTGAGCTGAGTTCCAGCTCAGCGTATGTATCTTATTTGGAATACGAAGCAACATACACATAAGTGATTTCGACATTGGCTACACTTCATCAGGAGAAGGTCTTTGAATGTCATGGAGGATTTCTGCCTCATCCGCTCTTGAACCGGGCCCCGGAAGAGGCACTTTCTTTAATTCAGTCCTCTCCACTCGGGCCGTAAAGTCGTCACTGGCTCCGGAGAAGCCATCGGTCTCCGAGTCGAGATCCTCACGGTGGTCGCTCTACCCTTCACCCTTTTCACTCATTTCCTCCTTCGATCTTGATGACCCCAGGAAGCAACGCGGGCGGATGGTGTTGTGCAGATTTTATAACCGCTGGGTTATAACTGTAGGGCTTCTGCAGAAATTGGATGACTTGGCCCAGGAGACCTTGAAGGGCATGTCAAAGCTGGACAAGGACCCTTATCACAGAGCAACGATGTCACTTAGGGCACATTACGATCACCTGATGAGGCTGTTACAAGTTTAGATTTTGGAGTTCTCCTTCAGGGGCATAGGGATGGGCCCAGAAATAGTCATTTTTAACAAGTGCTCCATGTGATTCTAAAGCAAGGCTCCATATAGGGATGGGCCCAGAAATAGTCATTTTTAACAAGCGCTCCATATGATTCTATAGCAAGGCCCCATTTTGAAACACACACACACACACACACACACACACACACGCATTATCAAAAGACAGACAGATGTAGCCCCCAGCCATTATATTCTTGGCACAGGGCTTAACTTCTTAATGGGGAAGGATGTTTCCAGCAAAAGGTCAAGATTTTAGTTCAAATCCATTATGTTTCCTGGCATTAGTACGATATTAATTTAGATGCTTAAAGTAATTATTTAAAGCATATTTTGCAGTCAGTATCAGGAAAATTCTCCCGGGTGTGCGATGCTATCAGTAACGCGTGGGTAACAACCACTTGAACTCATTAATAACACTTCTCCATCGATTTGAACACATTAATTAGGACAGAGGCCGTGCCGGGCGTTGGACCCTTGATCTACAGGCGCGGCTTAGTAATCACGGAACCCCAGCGATCACAACAATGGTGGGGTGCAGGCTAAACCGTCGGGCGCAGCGAAGCCGACCACTTTACATCTCTGTCGAAAGCCCATTACCGAGCTTAACTAGCAGCACGTAATGATGGCAGCAGCGATTCCGGTGATTGATTTCCGAAGTAAAGCGAACTGGCAAGCTGGGCGCGGCGTCTCCTCTGCTTTGAAATGAGAGGGAGGGAGCACGGAGGTCCGAGGGCAGTGACCCAGGGTCGAGCGTGGCCGGCGGTGCCGCGGCGCTGGCTTGGGAACACGGACACGGGCCCGGGAGGGCGGCTTTGCATCTTCTCCTCCTAATGTCAAGGACAAGATGCCGCACACACTTCTCTAGAAAAAATAAATTGGCAGACAGGGCAGGAAAGCGAAATGCAGTAGTTTTGACTGCTGTCTTGCAACTTCCTCTGGTTAAAAGGAAGTTGAGGTGCGTGAGAATTGGGTAAATAAGTTCCAAGTGACAGAGTTGGTCCCAAATCCCTGATTGGTTTGATATGTGGTTACTCACTCTTCATCTTTAGTACGGCTCAGGGTTTTTCTCCCGCGGGAGCCGTTTGCCAGATTCTCTCCCGGGATGGTTCACGATGGTCCTAAGAAAGTCAGTGACACTTGGATGATTCCGTGACATCCTTTCCTTCTTACACTCAGCCGCCCCCGCCAGAATATCTTGACTACGATGTCAGTGTGAAGGGAAGCATCATAGCAAAGCGGGCGCAGACTCTCATAAGACGTGGTTTGGAAACTGGCCACATTCCAAAGGAAGAAGCCATTCGCTTGTTTCCCTAAATGACCGATTGTCTGAATTCAATATTTTTAAAGGTCTATTTTCCTAAAAGGTTTATGTAACTGCAAACAGCTTGCTCCCTAAAAGATATCTAATTAAATATGCAATATTCAAACTTCAAAATGTCTGGATATTTTGTCCACGGCCACGCCACCCTGAACAAGCCTGATCCCGTCTGATCTCAGAAGCTAAGCCGGGTCAGGCCTGGTTAGTACTTGGGTGGGAGACCACCTAGGAAGACCAGGTGCCGTAAGCATAAAAAATAAAAAAAAAATAAGGGATCGTAAGCTGACAAGGTCCTTGCAATCTGTGAGGTCAACCAAGGTTTGCCTTGCCTAAAAAAAAAAAAAAATCACAAAATGTCTGGATATTTTGACGAAAGTCAGGGGGTGCAATGTAGGGGAAGAGGATCTGGCTAGAAATAACTACCGGATGCTCATTCAGCTTCAAATGACCAAATGGAAACTCTAAAACATCTTATGTTTCTTTGAAAATAAATGTAATTTAAGGCGTTTCTCCTACTTAATTCCTGTACTAGAGTACTATTGACTAATAACTAAGCCAAGAGACTTTTTTGCTGTCTAAAATAAAAACCTCTCAAACTGCATTTGTTTTGTTCAAGTATAATTTGAGTTTGGCATTTCTAAGTACTGTGGAAGTATTTTCAGTGAGATTAATTTTCCAAGTAGGAGACTGACAGAGATAATCATTTTCTGTAGCAGTCAGATTGTCGTCATTCTGTTATCAGCCTCCAATCGGCATTGCAAAATTCTTGCTGGCATTCTCCGTGCCATTTGTGATACACTCTTCCCGGATGTCTATCTCTAGATCATTTCGACATTCTCTTTCGCAGGATCGGTTGTGGGTGTCCAGGTAGGGTGTATGTTATTTGAAAAGTCACTCAAGGGCTGGGAGGGACAGGAGCATTGACTGACCGTCTAAGTCATACGCCTCGTGTCGAGAGTTCCGTTGCCTCTTTGTGCACAGTAGAGTGAATGTCTCTCGAAAAGAGAGCATCTTTCAAACGCCCGCAGCACCGGCACCACTGAGCTCATGGAGACCGTTGTCTTTGGTGGAAATAGGATCGTCTCCATGTTATTGGGTTTTATTTTTTAATAGTCCCAGGAATTACAACTGCTTGTTGTTTAAGATAAATAGTGGCCAACTCTGTGTATTATAAGCGTAATTTGATTTTTTTTTTCCCCTCGAAGGTGGAAACAGAATGGCACAGATATCGATTTTGCCACGAGTTATCACTACAGGTTGGATGGAGGGGATTTGGCCATCAGCAGCCCTCACACGGATCAAGATATTGGCACGTACCAATGCCTGGCCACCAATCCTCTGGGGACGATTGTGAGTCGGAAGGCAAAGCTCCAATTTGCATGTGAGTTTGTGGGAAACATCTATAATTCCTGTGATTCTGAGAACTTGCCATTATTATTGTATTCATATTAGAAAAAAAAAATCCAGCTTTTCTTATCATCTGCAATTTGAGAGCAAATAGGAATCCTGGGGGCAAGTCCAGACTCCTGAGGGTAAATGGATACTATTTCAGCAAAAGAAGAACATAACGGTGTTATTATATTCTGTGAATTATATTTAGAAACATCTCTAAAAGTTCCAGATCTAAATATGACGATAAAGACACACGCTGTGTTACTATTTTCTTTTTCCCGTTTCTTTTGCATTGGCTATTCGTGGGCAGAGCACAGGAAGGACGAGCTGAGGGCAGAGATGTCCTCTGGGGAGGCGGGTGTCCTCCCAGGGAAGTGATCAGACAGGCACAGGGCGGCGTGGGCGGAGTGGAGAGGTTGCCAGGGGCAGGCTTTATATTAACAGTGACAATGTCCGGCCGCGTCACGTAAATGTCATCCAAGTAATTACCTTGCTGACATTTGGAGATGAACAATAGGCACCGTGCCTCTTATATCCTTTATGTATCGCGTGTCCGAGGACTGAGATGTTTTGTGGTGGGTGCGGGGAAAGCCTCGTTCGAAAGGCTTACACCTGTCACTGTGGGTGAAGCGGGGGAAGGCGTGCGTTCGTCCCTTGCTCCTCGCCCCTGTCCCCGAGGGCGCATTCGTGGCAGACGGTTAGCAGCTACTGCTGCTGGTGCTCATGGAAAGGGCTCTGCTGTCTGTCGCTTTCAAAAAAGTCGTTTTGAAACTCGATTAATAAAATATAGGTCCGAAGCCCACCTTGTCAAATTACTTGAGCCCTCAGGAAATTTATAAATTAATCATTGGGTCTGTTTTCCATTGCAAGTCTTATGTCCCAAAGACCCCTCGCTCCATACACAGTTCCGACTATATGGACCATTTCGGCGATGGCTTTGTTTCTGAAGAGTTACGTGTATGTGTGTGTGTGCATATATACATTCAGAATTATATTCTAATTTTAAAATATCTGTGTGTGTGTGTGTGTGTGTGTGTATACATTCAGAAATATACATGCATGTGCGTATGTATATGTGTGTATGCATGCGATCACACGTACGCGCGCGCGCGCGCACACACACACACACGCTGCCAAGCATATCCAAATGTGATTCTCTCTAGGGAAATAGAAGGATAATGCAAAAGTTTGTGGAGGTAAATGGAATGAGGAGAAAGTCTGCCAGCTATGTCGAAACTCGGGGTAAAGATTAGAATCATACCTGATTTCTGCATCTCGGCTACGGTGTCACTTGGCAAAATAATAGGGAGCAAATCTGATGAGAAATTTATTTTACAGAAATAAATGATGACTCCACAGACTTTGAACGGTTCTCCAAAATATCGATTTCCCCTCTTGGATAGGAGTTGACCTGAGAAGATACACACGGTTTGGGTCAGATTCCACAAGGATAATTCGACTTTCCGGAAAAGGGGCGTCCACATGGGCCGCGTATTCCCTTTTCTCGGGACCTGTGGCTTCGTCCATTCTTGCAAACAGCTGAGCACCCGCGCCCGAAATTGACGCAGGCCCTGCCTGGCCGCGTGTGTCCTCCTTTTCCTTGTCACCTTTTTCCCGCAGCAAACTTGTAAATTACTACATTATTATTTCTTACCCTTTTCTGCTTTAAAAACTCATGTAGCAGTTTCCCTAAGTCAAATATATATATTTGCCTTTGCTAAAAAAGAAGGAAGGGAAAAAATGCAGGAGGAAAGGTTGAAATCCGGAAGACATCGCGGCTTCCATGTGGACGAGCGGGGGACATGGGCTCTGCCGGCCCCGCTCACCTTCCGTCTCGTCGTAAACGTGCCCGTCTCTGGGTCGAAGGCGTGTGCTGATCGCCGTCCCTGGGGAAGCAGAATGGCGACATCCGTGAACTCCTCTCTCTCCCGAGAACGCACAGGGTCTGGGAGTCTAGACCCGAAACTTGAGGAACGGAAGCGAGAAGCAGAGTTCTGTCTCTTCCGTCCGGCACCTGCGCCGGTGCCCGGATGTTTCCCGCGGGCTCTGGGAGAGGTTCGCACGAGCGCAGTGATCCCCGCTGACTTGAGTCCACCTTCAACAAAACCAACACGTTTTACTCATCTCTCTGCTTGTCCCGGATCTCCTAAGTGCCTGTGTCTGCTTATCTAAATCAGCCGTTTGTTCTGAGCCATAAAACCTTCCTTCACGAAGGCGACGTACCGGGTCCGGCTTTGCCACCATGACCGTGCGCCTCTGAGCGGTTTACGTTTTTATACACACG